TATCAGAATATCTAATAAAAAATCTTGAAATTATATGAAAAATTGTATAGGTGCACATATGTATTTTCTGGAGGAGAAAAGCCATAACTTTTATCAAAAAAACCCACAAAAAAACATGGAAATGGTTCGTGTTTTCAGGACGCAAAATGGTTAAAAATTAAAACTAATATAGAAAGCCAATCTATTCAGTAAGTGAACAACACACCAATGACTTCAATTTTTTTTAAGGTAAATACAATGTCAGATGCTATTAATGAAATATTGCCAGCTCAAACTTGAATAGTAGTATTCCTTGTTTATGGATATTGCTCTGGTGCTTATCTGTATTTCCTCTTTACAAATGCAGAACTTAAAGCACAGCAAACAATATTAATTTGCTCCAGAGAAAATCAATCAAAAGAACCAGAGTTCTTAGTTCTCATGGTAAGTGTAATATGTACTTATTCCCTTCCTCAAACAGTTTATCACCAAAACTCAAATTGTTTGAGAGAAAAAGTAAAAGCAAGTTTGGATAATATACTTTGAATCTGTGTTACCATTTTTTGTGTGTGCTGTTGTTGTTATTTGTTTAGCTACAATGTGATTTATACCTGAGAAATCTACCATATTGTATTAATGCAATAAAGTGAGAAAAGAGAAAGTTTTTTTACAATATATTCAAAAGGCAACCAAACTATGAACTTTAATTTAACGTCCTCATTAGATTTATTTGAGACCCAAAAGAGCCTCAAATAAATTTGTACTGTCTGTTATAGCTATCACTTCACCTACATGTAAACTTTCCAAATGTTTATTCATTCATTTAACAAATATTTATTAAGTGCCAGGCACTGTGCTAAGCTCTGGAGCCACAAGCCCCTGATTCTTAGAGAGCTGTACTTATACAGATGATAGCCTATGACTTGCAAACACCATTTGCAAAATTTCTGTCTTTAAGACTTCTAATTTCTGCATTGGAATATTATGACATAATATCTTTACAAGCTGCATAAACTGCCGAGTGGCTCTTCAATTCATGGAGACTGTTAAATATGCCACTAAAGTCAAGAGTAACAAGCACATATTATGTGTATGATGTTAGAGAAAAGCACAATTTATCACTGTAATTAGTACTATTTAGACAAATACTCTCACTTGGCTGAAAGCTACCATGATATCTAGTCTAACCTACAATTAGACTTCATTTCTATCAAGCAGTGAAACTATGTATAAAATTGTGCTTTCTAATCCCTCCTAAGATAATGCTTCAGTCTTGATTTAGATGCAAGGAATTCTAATGTTTAAACATGGAAAATATTTCTGTCCTCCCACCACAACCAAGCAGATTTTTCTATAAATTCCCAGCCATTAATTAGTACTGAGTTTTAAGATTTGACTAACCCAAAGCCAAAGTAAAAACAATGACAGTTCATAAAATCACAGAATTTCAGAACTGAATAGATTATCTAATTTAAATTCCTCATTTGAAAAATAAAGAGACTGAGATCTGGAGAGGTTTACTGATACGTTCAAGGTCTCACAAGTTAATGACAAAGCTGTGGTTAGTTTTCTGACTCCTATTCCAGTGCTCTTTTTAATACATAAAAGAAACTGCTATACGAAATTAAGAAGAGCTCTGAGAGAAAAAAAAATTACCTTTAATTACAAACATGAGCAAACCATAACTCAGATGCACTTAATAAGCTCTAAATTGAAATTATGCCTTATTTAAAAATAAGAAGAAAAGGAAGTCGAAGCTGAAAAATGATAGGTCAGCCTTCTGGAATATGGCCTTCATATAGGTCAATCCAGTTATAATCAACTTTAAGAGCCTGTTCCAATTATTTTTCAGTTCTGGAATTATTTCATATTGAATAAAAACTACAATTAGTAGGGTACTGGCTAGGGAGCAGAAATCTTTTTGATTTACAGAGATTTTTGTTGAAAAGGGTTTTGACCAGGGAACAGTAAATTAAAGCAAGACGTCAAACTTTTACCTTAATTTCCTATATCTCCAATTTTGACCTCTTCCCTTTCTACTTGTATAAAGTGATAAAGACCAGAATTTCCATTTCCATTTCATTTCTATTTTTCAAAATTTAAATAGTTTGTTTCACATTATTGTTAAACTTAGCAATTTCTTCAACATATTTATGTTTCTAAGAGTAAAATTCTGTCAGAGAAATAGATGGTAACAAAGATTTTGCTAACATCAAAGTTATAAAATACGTGGACACTGGAAAACTGAGTCTCATAACACTTTAAAAAATACCGGGTGCTTGAATGGCTAAGAAATTATGGAATACTATTTTAGTCAAATCATTTATCAAAATAAAATGGGTTTACAAGCCCTAAGTAAGAAAGACCGAGTCTCTCTGAGCTTCCATCAGTACTGGATAGTAAGAATAAAAGAAATGTGTTGTATGTTTATAGGACTTGAATCTGGTTCAGCAGGATGTATAAGTAAAATAAAGAGATCAAAACAACAGATTGAGATGGTTATTTCTCAAACATAAAGTGCATTTGTGGTTCCGATTAAAGTAAAAATAGTTAAATGAAAGATGGGACATATTTAAATGTTTTTAAAAGTCTATTGTACTAGAAAAATACAAAATATATATGTATGTATATTGATACAGATGTCTACAGTGAACTAGTGAACATTTATATATAGTGCTTACTACATGCCAGCCACTGTTCTAAGTGCTTTCCACATCCTAACCTATTTCATTCTCACAGCAGCCCTTTCAGGTAAGTACTATTATTATCCCCATTTTACAAACAAGGAAGCCAAGGCACACAGCCAGTTAAGTGGCAAAGCTGGAATTCAGATCCAGTCAGATTCCAGAATTTGTGTGCTCAAGCATTGTACTATAATGGTTACTTCTTAAACATTACCAGCTTTGTTGAATTTATCTTTGAATCATTTGATATCAAAATTTAAAGACACATATTTTGATTAAACAATTTCATTGTGAAACACTTTAATCCCACAGTTGTCATATATCGAGGGATACCATGTTAATTAATAAGCTTCTGTAAATACTTAGCCTCCTTGGTGTATGACAAACTCATGTTACAAGAACTATGCTAGTGCTCTCATATCTTGGGTTTTTTTTTTTTCCAGTGGAAAACATGGTTATGTATCAGTTAAATAACTTTCATACTACAATTATTATATGTAGTATATCGTTATGGAAAAGTTCCACATGGCACAGGAACTACATTGGTTGATGCTCTCCCTCAAGCTTACATACAATTCAACAAATAAACCTTGTCAGTCCTACAACTTGAATTTCTCTCTTATCTATCCCCTTCTTCCCAAACCTACTGTAATGATCATTGTTAAGGCTCTCAGTACCTCATGAGTCCCTCCAGCCTCAAGCTCCTCCAGCATACTCAATGGTGGCATGCAGGGGCATGGCGGGGTAGGGGAAGCGAAAGTGTCAGGAAGAGTGGTTGTGGACCCCATGCATTAAGCTTCATTGGCCTCTCAAGTCACCACAAATAGACATAAAATCTATTTTTTTTAAAAAATAGCGCATTTACTATTCAAGTACGGCTTCAAGACAAAAGCCTTATCCTTCTAATTAAGCCTTTTAATTAAGTTGCCATCTCCACCTTCTCATAGAAATATCTGGAACTAGCACTGAACCTTCCATCATACTAAATCAATAATCCTTATAAAATGCAAATCAAGTCATTTTACTCCCCCTTCCTCCCTTCCCCAAGACTTAAATTTTTTAAAATATAAGGCATATAAGGCACTTCATGATTTGGCTACCTTCCTTACCTCTTCTACTTGCCCTCACCTACCCAAGCTAGCCATATTAAGTAACCTGCATTTCTCTGAACATACCTTGCTCTTTCAGGTCTTCATGTTTTTCCCACACTACTTCATATATTAGAAATGTCCTTCCCTCTCCTTGGACATCTGGCTAACTCTTGCTCATAGTTTGAAATTCAACTCAAGCACTATATCCTCCATGAAGCCCTCCTTAAACTTCAGAGACCTTCCCTCCCTTCCAAAATCTCTTCCCCTAAGCAAAGAGCTAGAAGCATCCTCTGGATTCCCCTAACATCCCAGGCATAAATACTTTTAGTCTAGTCTTATCATCACCATATGGTTCAATGGTCTTCACACAGTTCCAACTCCATCTTGTGCTTGTTAAAGAAATTGGCTTGATCTTGTTTATCATTGTATCCTCACTGCTTCACACAATGTCTGGCACTCATAGTTAATATTCAATGAATATTTAATGAGTTGGAATTAAATTCTTTATACAGTATAGAGATACGTATACTAAAAGAAAATATAAATAATATTGACAATAATGTTCACAGACTATATCTGGCCATAGTGATTTTCATAATAAAATTAAAATATTAAACATGAAATAAGCACATAATAAAATTTTGGACTTTTATGTCTCAGTTGTTTAAATGCTTAAACTCCCATTTTTAAAAAGGGTGGTGGCTCTAATTTAAGAACCAGTAAACACATGCTATATTAGTTCTCTTTATTTGGTCATTGTTAAATATAACATGTTTTCTTTATAATAACTAACTTTATTACACTAAAGTTGCTCGTTTTAATTTTTTCTTTCTAAAGGAATGACCACAAGTGGAATGAAAAGCATTTTCATTATCCTTTAACGAGATGAATGTTCTATTTTGTGTGATTTGGAGCAGTTTCTTATCAAGGCTGCCAGCCTCTTATGAACATTACGATTTTCAGATTGTAGTGTGCGTTAAAGAACGAGAAGATATCATGAAATATTAGTGACAATTATATACTGAGCAAGGAAACTGGACAATGTTTCCAGGGGTTGTAAGGACTGTGGAAATGAATGTTACTCAAAGTAGAGTGGTGATTTATAACCAATTTCCGGCTTCAAATTAGGGCCCAAGTAAAAGAAAACGAAATTCAGCAAAGCATTATGGTGTATCATTTCCTGCAGCAGAAACACTCCCCCACCCGGACCAGTGCCCTTACTAAGTATAGTACAAGAAGCAGCAACCTGAGGGAAGCCCACAGGCTCGCAGGGCTACTGGCTGGCTCTTTGTCACCAAACGCAGCAGGTTGAATGCAGACATCACTGTGATATCTTCACCAACAAAACGAGAGGCAAAGAACAGGGGCAAGAGCTGAGTAAGACAAAAAAAGAAAACAAAAACAAATTAAAACATCACAACTGTTAAACACATTCACTGCACAATTGATGGTTACGGTTTTATCTGGAACTGAACACACACACAGTGCTAATAAATTTCAAATGCCTATTTTTCATATGGTGGGCTTACTTTCAACCCAGGCTTATTTATATCTTATGAATAAAATACACACTATATAATAGCAGTGTAATCTGTGAACACATTTTGCAAGAGGTTGAGAAAAGAGACGAAGTTTAAAACAGTTGAAAGGAATTAACATTTACTGAGTTCCTAACAAGTGACAGGAACTGTCTAGGGCCAAATATAAATATATTACGTCATTTAATTCTTACAATAAAGCTAGAAGGTAGGTTTTATCACCCAATACACATGTGAGGAAGCCAAGGCTCAAAGGTCCAAGGGCACAAAGCAAATAGCCAGTGGAAAAAAAATTAGAAAACCTTGTTCTATACAACTACAAAGTCCCGCTCTCTCCTCATACCACGCTGCCTTCTTCCAGCAATTATTTGCAAATCTCCCTCCCTGGAGAAGACTGCAAAATACTGTAAGATTAAGAGATTTCTTTTGTTAGAGTTTCATATTTTAAAAAAATAGAGTCAAATAACCTAAGGACAACTAGGAGGCTTCACTTTATAAATAGTGTTAAGTTTGAAGAAGGCATATCAACCATGAATTTTCATTTGATTTTATGATTTATAATTTCTAGATCAATTCTGTAAATAATGTTCAAAATCTAGCCTTAAAAAGGGTAAAAATATTTTTTAAAGCTTTTGGAAATGAATCATGTGGAAGGATCTCAAAACTGTGTGAATGTTAAACTTTAAAGAAAAGTTCAACTAGGATTTTCTTTAAAGTTTTGTACAATCTTTCAGTTGGTAAAGATTAACTTCTAATGAAGGTGGAAGATACTAAATTAACAGTAACTTCTAATATTTTATTTTGAATTAGCATTATAAGTGACCTTAACTACTAAGTGTCCAAAAATGGATATAAATTTAACGTCTCGTTCATTTCCTGACCCTCATCCCTCACCCCACCCCCCAAAAATAAAAGTCTGTTCCTGGTGTCTTCTGACCTCCTCGAAGAACAAACACATAATAAACAGTAATATATTTTACCAAATCATTCTGGAGTATATCTGACACAAATCTGCTTGTATTAACATGCCTGAACTCTGATTTCTCCAAACTAAACTCACTACAAAACTAAAACATTTTTGTGTTACTAACTGGAGACAAAAGGGAGGAAGAGGGAAGGTAAGTATCACAATGCACAGCCTGAAAGAACCATTAAACATAAATAAACATGTCATTTTTCACGAGTGACTGCAGAGCAGGGAAAAGAGAGCATTCCTTTGGAGCAGACTACTGACTAATAAAAGATCAAAGGTCTATACCTCACAACACTATAAATAAAAATGTATTTTTTTCCTTGTGACCTTCTCTGTGAGGAATAAAGTACGCACGGTAAATGTAATTACTTAGCAAAGCTGCAGCCTCATTGTGCTCCTGCAGCTGACTATAAAACGTCTTCCTATCCTGTTTCATCAACTGCTGTACCAGGCGGCCTGCGCGCCTACCGATGGCCACGGCCATCTGGCTTGTGTCAAAGCCGGCGCACAGGAAGAAAGGGAGTGATGTCACTCTGCAGGTCAGGCAAAGAACAAAGATGCATTCTACAATGAAAAGCTGAGGGCCTCAAATACCAGGGGGCCCTCCAGCATGATATGACGGAGTGATTTAATGTTCTGCCAGTTGCATTTATTTCTACCCAAATAGCCAGGGCTCCATCTAGTGGCAAATTAGTTTTGCCCAGTTTTCTTTAAAAGTGAACCCAGCTACATTAGCACCAACAAAGTAGAGCAACAATGTGTTTACTTTTAGAGCTATCTAACCTTTTTTACACTGAAGAATGCAAAAGTACAATTTATCACAGTGCTCTCCATTGTCAAATCCTACAAAGCATGCATTTCATAGGTTAGGATTTGATATAACCCTAATTATTTTAATGTTTGCAAGGATAACTGAAAAAGTAGCTAATTTTGCAAAAATGCACATAAAGTGACATTACGTACACACTACCCTGAAAAAATGTAGCTGAGGTGGAAAGTGAAAAACAGTTCTAAAGAATGGATGCATGCATCTGGATGCCTTGGTGAAATCAAACTCATAGTTATATTCCACAAAAGAATCATAGTTAATATGGCTCTAACATGTGACACCAGGAGCAACTGTTCTTTAGAACAGAAAAATGAATATTTTTATGCTGAAATGATTTAACAAATTTAATTTTTTTTAACAAATTTAATTTTTAACTAATGTTCTTCCACTTAGTTTTTCTTTCTTTTTTTTTAAAAAAAAATTTATTTATTTTTTATTTTATTTTTGGCTGCATAGGGTCTTAGTTGCGGCTCGCAGGATCTTTGTTGAGGCATGCGGGATCTTTCGTTGTGGTGCACGAGCTCCAGGGCACATGGGCTCTGTAGCTGTGGCACGCAGGCTCTCTAGTTGAGGCGCGTGAGCTCAACAGCTGTGGCACACGGGCTCAGCTGCCCCGCGGCATTGTGGGATCTTAGTTCCCTGACCAGGGATCGAACCTGCATCCCCTGCGTTGCAAGGCGGATTCTTTACCACTGGCCACCAGGGAAGTCCCCACTTAGTTTTTCTTAGTTTATGTTTGCAATAAATGAAATCAAACACTGACAAACCAATCTAAAATGCAGAATACATTTAGATGAAAGATATATCACAATGGATGGGTGTGATCTATGAGATCAGACTACCTGAGTTTGAATCCTTGTCCGGCTCCTAAGGAGTTGTGTTACCTTGGAAAAGTTGCTTACCCTCTCAGTGCCTTAGCTTCCTCAACTCAAAATTAACAATTAAATAAGTTAATTGGTAAAAAGTGCTTGAAATAACTCCTGGCACATTGTATATGCTCACAAACATTAGCTCTTATTATTATTTAAATATACAAATATTTGCTTTATTTCAGAATTATATGAATCGGAAATTTCTAACAGTCCATTTATACCCAATCCTATTTAGGGTTAGCAGGCCATTCTGCAAACATAGAATCCTATTTAGGCCGGAAAACGTACTACTCTTGGATTGATTTCCATGGTAGGATAAAGATCTCCTCAGGATAATAGTCGATGAAACCCTTGCCATATGGCAGACACCGTTCTAAGCACTTCATATTTATTAGCTCTTTTAATCATCAGGAACTTATAAGGTACATATTATCATTTTCCCATTTTTAGATGTAGAGATTGAGGCATAGGGAGGTTAAGTAATCTACATAAGATTTTAACGGCTGGTAAGTAGCACAGCCCTTAAGTAACTGGACGGAAAGATTTAACAGATTTGAACCCAAGCCATCTGTTATAGTTCCAGGACCAGTGCTCTTGACCACTACACAATTGGCAATGAAAAGCCTGAGGTTGTTACCAATCCACTCTAGACACTCTGATTCTATGTTCTCCTAATAGACAATGTGGCTGATAGATTTAATCTTTCTGTCCCACCACATGCAGCTCCTCTTTCCCTTTCACCTTCAAATCGTTTCTCTAAACGCCTTGGATACATCTTTAGGATATATAACCTAAAGATGCCTACAATTGAGTCCACTTGCACCTACCAAAGCTTCAATATGTTGATGATACGGTACTTTTGAGAGTCAAACAAACCAACAGCTACTCCTCCCACTCCCCCTGCAAAAAAATCTGAGTTTCAATTAGGCAGCTTTTTTCCCATTGTGCTCCCTGAGCTGCCTGGATGAGGACCCTGGCCAGAAACAATCCTAAGTCCAAAAAGAGGCAAAAGAAGCACATTCTTCTAAGTGGTGACAATCTTTGGGAAAAGAATTAGCATTAAACACCCCCTAGAAATCAGCACTGAGCAAAAGCCACCCAGAAAATCTATAGTTCCTCAAGTTTATCGTCAACTTCTTCACTTTTGTATTGCTTTTGACTCAAATAATTGCACCGATGAATAACATTTATAGAAAACTAATATTTTTTTTAATGCCAGACACAATTTACACATCTTTCTAATCTCCCAGAATATCTAGCACATCACTTTGAAATTATTTGGTGTTAAAAAATATGGGTTGAACAATACCTAATGAGCAGTATCACACTATGTGTTGAGAACAGAATTAGATTACATAATTGTCTATAATTTTCTGCTTAAACTTTTTAATGATTCCCCATTGCATATTGCAGGGTTTCCCAAACCATGTTCTGTGAAACAGGCAATACCCCTTCAAACAAATTTAGTAATGGAAATGCTACTCAATATAAAGGGTCTGAGAGGCTTTACAATAAAGTGCACCTGCTTAACTTTCTCTCAACTGGTGCCTCTCAAATGGTTTTGACCTTACAAAACCCCTTCCTTTCCTATCGCCATCCCACAGAACACATTCTGGTGAATCCTTTGGATAACATCCAAATTCCTGAACAAAGCAACTAAAGTTCTACATCTAGCTGCTGCCTAACTCTTCACCCCTTTCTCTTGCCATACCTCCACATTTCAACCCGCCCCATGCTCCTGCTATACCAATATACTCATAACTTCCCCCAAATAGGTCTGCTGTTTCCTATTTCCACCTCCACATCTTTCCTCATTCCATATCCTTACTGTCCTTTCACCACTCCCAACTCCCACCACTCCTAACTTCTCCCATTTGGGTCCCCAGTGAGGCACAAAGCATGATGTCATAGCCCCTACAACAATTTTCAAGGCACTGATTTGCTTACACCTCTGTCTCCCTCTTCTAGATTATAAACCTCTTAGGCATAGGGACAGTGTCTTTTTCACCTTTGTATCCCAATACCTGGCACCTAACAGCCATTCATTTATTGAGTGAAAGAATGACTATATAAATAACTGATTCTATGGAAATGAGTGTTCTGGATCATCATTTCCCACCCTGCTATCTCTGCCATCTCAACTGTTAATGGTGCTTAAATG